TCACGACTTTTATCCCCGAAGAGGTAAGCAGAGATGTACATTATGCTACTGTACAATGTAACACCCACTTTTCACTATCTAAGTTATGAGTCCCATGTAATAGGGGGTGAACCTATTGCCATATACCGGGTACATTTCCAGACTCCGTACTACTACTGTGATTTTTTTTTTTTGAAAAACTCAGTAATACTTTGCCCGACCCGGGAATCGAACCCGGGACCCCTTGCCCGGCAGTCGTAGGTACTTGCGACCACTCGGCCAATGAGGCAGTCAATTAATAATGTAGGGACTATGTAATATTGTAACTTGTCTGTTTTTGTTGAGATCAGTTAACTTGTGATCACACAAGTGCGAATGATGAATAGTAGATAGATCTGCTGGTCTTGGGTTCAATCTAATCTGTAAAACCTAAATAAATTATAATATTTTACTATTTAATTTAGAGTACCTAAATAAAACTGAAAAAATGTTTTCATGGAGTTTTAAAAATCATTTGTAATCGGTTTTAGTATACAGGATCTGTGATCTAGCTTCACCTAGCTTCACTGACGGACTGACTGACAGACTATTATTTATTTTGTATTTGTTGATGTTTCAAAAGTACCAAATTATGGTTTAATTGAAATAAATGCTTTGACTTTGACTTCGACAAGCAGTAAAGTTTTCAACCAACTAGATACAAGAGAGAGTTGACATAATCTTCTAATTCTCAGCATCATCATCATCATCATCAACAGCCTGTAAATGGCTTCTGCTGACTAATGGCCTCTTCACACGGAGAAGGTTTGAGCATTAATAACGCTAGCTCAATGCGGGCTGGCGATTACAAACTTATAATTAGAAGTTATAAGCCCAGGTTTCCTCACGATGTTTTCCTTCACCGTTTGTCAGTGGTGTCTAGATAATCTTAGAAAGTACATATAACTCGGAAAAAGTCACATCGGTACTTGCCTCGAGTCCGCACCCTCTTGTATGAGAAGCGGGCGTCTTAAACCTCCGGGCCACCACGACATGCCTTCTAATTCTATCATCAATGTATATTCCGTTCTAGACTACACAGACTTATTTAGTCCTCTTTTCTTTCAATTCAACTTCACAAAACATTATACACAAAGCCATCGTCTCCTTATTTGAAGATGAAACATCCAAATATATCTTGAGAAAAATCTAATATTAACTCACAATAAGTTTGACGTCATCTATATAGCGCACGCACCATTCAAACAGCCCTCTCCCTCGAGAATCATGACTTTGACGCTTATAAATTGACATTACTTATCTCACCGTCACCTGTGTCACTGAGCGAAACATAAATATACTTTTAAATTCAGCCAAACAGGCAAATTTTAACCCTAAACTTGATACTAGAGGGTGCAATTTCCCCTGTAGCGTGATGTTGACAAAAGTTAGACATGTTTGCCGGTTGTTAAGCGAGTCTGTTTAATGTTTAGAAAGTTAATACTTTGTATTCGATAAAGATTTTCATATTTACTTCTTGTCGTATGTCAGTTTGTTCGTGTAAAGTATCGCTTACTATGTGTCTTCCGTCTTTGTGTCAGTTTCGTAGAATGTGTGAAATATTTAGGGAGACTTCATTACAGTGTTGTACTGTGAGCTGTGTGGATGTTTGCTGTGAGTAAAGATTGGATTACTATGTTGTGTTACTAAGTTTTGGCACTTATCTAGTTTATTTTTGTTGTAGCACGGAGTCTTTGAAAATTACATTGCTTTGTATCTATACTGGTAGCATGCAAGATGCATTAGAAAAAGCATTTAAACCCCAACTGGAAGATAATTGGGATGACGACAGGGTATGAAAATTAAAAATCTAATTAGTCCGTAAGTTAGGTAATGAAAAAATATTAGACACGTATATATTTTGTCGTATAACAAAACAATACTTCGATAAAACGAATCAAAGTTTAGGAGTGGGGGCTAAAACGTCATTTCTACGTATAAAATGTACATAGAAGTGACGTCACGTGACATTTCAAATTAATATATCGTGGAAAGTATTGGTTTCTGTGAGAAAATAAAAAATACGTGCCTAATGATTTAAAATAATCTACCAGACGGACATTAAAATAAAAATTAGGTATCTACCCTATTATAATGTAGGTATGTATCTATTTTGAAAAATGAATTTTCTGTCTATTTTATAATAAAAAGACCTAATTGTTTATACATGAAAGATAAAATGTGAAGGTGCATCTTGAAAAGCTGATACCTACCTACTCGGGAAACTTCGACCCCAAGAACTGATTAAACCCCACCTGATCTTTTTATATTAGAAGTCGTATCTTAGGCGACAGCTGTGATATCAAATAAAGTATAAAATCTCCTTTGATTAAAGTAAGGGCTTTAAAATTAAAAGTTTTTTTTTTATTTTGATTCGAGCCATTTTACGCAAGTATCATTCATCTTCTATTTTTGGTGTGAAATATGTAACCGTTTGGTTACATCATTATAAACATCATTATAAAAACATAACATTATATAACATCATGACTTTTATCCCCGAAGGGGTAGGCAGAGGTGCACAAAGCCACAGAACAATGTAACACCCACTTTTTACTATTTATGTTATGAGTTCCATGTAATAGGGGGTGAGCCTATTGCCATATACCGGGCACAATTCCAGACTCCGTGCTACTACTGTGATTTTTTTAAAAACCCAGTAATACATTGCCCGACCCGGGAATCGAACCCGAGACCACATGCCCGGCAGTCGCACTTACGACCACTCGGCCAAAGAAGCAGCTCATTATACGTATGATTATAAAACAAGGCATGTGATTACAAAAACTTCAGGTCCACAGAAATGAACCCTATGCTCCTGTATATACCACACATTCTTGCCCAAATTTCCTTGTCCTCTTAATCAAACCAAAGCTTCTCATTCTCATGGCTCCAGTTTTCAACCGCTTATCCAGCTCAACACTTCATCGTATTTATAGTAAAAATTCCCATCACGCCCCACAACTCCTGTGACCCTGCAAATTTTTGGAATACAGAGTGCTCCCTTCCGTAGGGAATTCGAGCAAAAAGTTCAATAGCACGTGCATCATTTGGAATCGTTCAAATATTTGCAACTAGGAAGGGGAACGCCTGTTTAGAGGTGTCAGTCACACCAGTGGTGTTTTAAGTTGTCGGTGATAGCGATTTCTGTATTTAGATGGATAAATTAAGATATCATTAACTGTTTAGCCAAAGTTAGAATTTATTGGTAGTGATTTGCAATATACTTGTTATCCATAAATATGTAATGTCACTGTCAAAACGGGACCATCTCGGGAGTATATGTATATGCCAACTATCGTGAGACATACTAAATTAAACTGTCAAACACCGCGAGAACACCGATGACCGCAACCTATTGTTGTATAATTGTGTCTATAATGACGGTACTCAGTATATATACCCTTTTAAACGAAACAAGAATTTTGGAAATCGGTTCACAAAATGCGGAGTAATGCGCGACCAAACAAAAAAAAAAAGCAATCAGCCGAGCATAGTACCTCTTCCTTTTTTAGAAATCGGTAAAAATGTAATCAAATGCAAAGCTGCTATTTTAGACTTATCAGTTTGTCAGTTTATGAATTGTACCATAACAAAATCGCAGGAACTTGCACCGGGGGTTAATATTGCTAGAAAAATGTATGGTTTAGAATTTTCTTTATAAAAACCCATCGATTCTGAAGGGGTGGCTCCCGAACCGAGAGGCGTTGAAAAATGGTGATCATTCCTTTTCATATGAAGAAAGCGTAAAATATTTTTTGAACTCTTTTTATTTTTGTTTTTGAAGATGTTACAGGAGGGTCGCAGACAATGTTGATATATCGTTAGATGCAATTTGTCAAGAAAATAAACCTTTGCGGACGTTGTGTTGGCAAGTTGACACTTTTAAGGGTCTATAAATAGAAGGGATTTTATTTTGAATTCTTAAATCTGTTTGAATAATAGCTTTTTAAAGATTTGGGGTTATTTTGGGGTGAACATTTTGAATAAAGATTTAATTCTGGCTACGATAAAGATTTTCTTTTGTTTAAAATGGAGAACAATGTCATTCAGTTTTTTATACGCCGTGAAATTTATTTCGTTTTCGTTTCGCGGTATAACAACTTGCCATAAAGAGTAGGTACTTTCGATGTATAGAGAAAAAAACAAAAAAAAACATATGTAATTTTTTTTTACTTTAATAAATATTTTCATAAATACGCAAATGAAACACTAGACGTTTTGTAGCGACTATTTTCTTCACATGTGCCATCTAACGATAAATACCTCTTCGAGAATTACATGGTGTGTTGTTTTGATTGTGTAGATTTGAGTTCGTATGTGCTTTCAAAGTTTACCTTCTTTTTTTGCAATGGTTCACCAGTTATTTTTTGTTTTAAACATTTTAATTTCCTTTAAAATCTATTGTATTATCCAAACAGAACCATTTTGCTTCGGAATGAAAACAAAATAGATTTCACAATGTATTTGATGGGGCGACGTTTGACCACTATCTCGCCTGATGGTTAGCGATGATGCGGTCTACGATGGAGCACATTTGCCCTTAAGTAACCTACTCACTCGTGACGAAAATGTGATTTAAGGGTTCATATTAATGAAAATAATGCTTAATCCTATGCAGTTTCGGAGTTTTCCAAACAATCCATTGCCTTATTTTGTCCTAGGTATCATCACATCACATCAACAGTCCATAAATGTCCATTGCTGAGCTAAGCCTCTTCTCATACGGAGAATGTTTGAGCATTAATCACCATGCTTGCTCAATGCGGGTTGGCGATTTCAAACTTGTAATTAGAAATTGTAAACCTAGGTGTTTACCTATGTTTTTCGGTGTCTGAATAATCTTAGAAAGTTCATGCATAACTCGGAAAATGTCACATTGGTACTTGCCGATAGATCTAGATGTAGGGAATGTAAACAATTGGACTCAATCACGCACTCATATAATATTTTGTGATTGAAATAAAACCTATTATATTGTTTTTTTTTCATTTTTTATTAACTGGTTTCTTTGAGACTAGAGGCGTTGGATGCCAGTAATACTTTTCATACACTTCATCCCAAAGTTTAAATTCATTTGCGAACAAATCTTTCTTGGTTTTTAAATCACTTCCTATTTCCATGTAGCCTTCTCTGTCATTTGTATATTTCGGCCATTTCTCTTCGATAAGTAAGCTTTCGTAGGCTGTTGGGTTTCTGTAATAGATAGAATTATAATAGTTAGTTAATTATTAACATTAATTAGACTGCCTCGTTAGCCGAGTGGTTGCAAGTGCGACTGCCATGCAAAAGGTCTCGGGTTCGATTCCCGGGTCGGGCAAAGTATTATGGGGTTTTAAAAAAAATTCAGTAGTAGCACGGAGACTGAAATTGTGCGCCCGGTATACGGCAATAGACTCACCACCTATTACATGGGACTAATAACATAAATAGTGAAAAGTGGGTGTTACATTGTACAGTGGCATAAATAAAATGGATAAAAGGCGTGATGTTATGATGCTGATGATGATTAGATGGTGGAATAGAGCCTAAGCTATTGTTTAAAATATGTGTATACAATGTGATTTAAATCTAAAAGTATATGGTACAGGTACCTATTTCTTTTGTGAAATATCTTCATTGTACCATATTATTAGTAAAGTGGATTAATGTGATTGATTCCGTTGTAATAAGGGCTAATCTATTTACATGCATTAAGTAGGTAAGTCAATATTATAATGACAATCTTGAAATTATGTTAACTTAAGACATACTATATGCCCTTATACAAAACTGGTGCAAAAAGGTAATCACATTTTTTAAAGTAAGTCTCTGAATGTACTTACTCATATTTAACGAAATCACTCCACATGGCTGTCATTCGGTCTCGTGTATCCATATCTTTGGCTTCATTAGTAAACTCAAAGAAGTCCAACAAATAAGAGGTCTGATCTCTATGACTGGCACCTGTAATTCTGTCCATAAAATAGTGCTTGAAGCTTAACTTCCCAACGTAAGAGAATTCGTACAAAAAGACAGGTCTTGTAGATTTCATTGCGTGTAGTTTCGCTGACTTCATTATACCGTACTTGAACATTGAGTCAGAAAAGTAGTCTATGTACCCTTGTACTGTATTATGAGTTACCTCTTCGTCTTTGAAGTAATACTTCTTTATTTTATCAATAAAATCATCCCTTGATTTATCGTTATCAAAAGCCAAATCAGCTGGAAGAAAATCCGCAAATTTCTCATTCATTAAATCGCTCCATTCATCAAATTTAATCGTTCTGCTTATACCCTCCATATTAGAGAATCCGGTCAACACTGGTATTTTCTCATAATCTCCTTTATGAAAAATAATCAAAGGCGACTCGGTGAGTATGGGTTCAGTGTTTCCAATAACATTCTCAATGCATGGTGCCAAACCAAACGTCGAGTTTGTTAAGTAGAAATTCTTGCTTTTAACAGCCAAATCTTTGATCGGTGCGTTTAATAAGAATTCGTTCAAATCCTCAATTTTCTCTGTGTTGTTATAACCGATAGATATTGCTAAATTCTTGGCTGTATTGATCGGGTCCCTGTTTACTGCGAAGGGGGATAACGCCGAACCACTTTCCAGTATTAGTTTGTCAATCAAACCGTTCGTTGATTTGGACAGTGCTAGTATTTCTGCCATACTTGCTCCTACACTGAATCCAGCGAGCGTTACTTTTTTGGGATCTCCGCCAAATTTACTAATGTATTTGTTAATGAATTTCAAAGCAGCTAGTTGATCTTTTAGTGCTGCATTGCCTGGTATTTCTTCTGTGCCTAAACAGGCGAATCCTTTAAACCCAAGTCTGTAGTTGAAACTGACTACTAAGATGTCATGGCGAGCTAGGAAGTTGAACTTGGCCATGTTTCCATTGCCTCCAGAGTAGGCTCCGCTGTGAATGTAGACTAGAACTGGTACTAAATTATCTTGACTGGCTACTTTGGGTACGAAGAGGTTCATGGTCAAACAGTCTTCTACACCATCTAGGATGACTTCTTCATCAGAGTCATCTTCCAGGAGGTAGATTTGTTCACATGATATATACTGATCCTTAGCGTCTTTTATACCTTTCCATGGCTTTACTGGAAGTGGTGCCTGGAATATTAAACACACGTGTTAGGAAAACAAAATAGAAGTTTGTCGTTTCTTATACCTTGTTCCCTCTACATAGTTCTCTCTGTATATTCGTAAATAGACACACATAGGTACAGGGCTGTATATTTGTTAGGTACTCGTTTAACGCAGATTCTAAAATGTCTTTTAACCTTTTGTCTATCGATATATGAGACACAATAGAAAACACACGACGTCTCACGTAAATCTGAGTTCTGATACTCCACGGATTAATTCAGAATTTTAACAACATAACATAACATAACATTACGCCTTTTATCTCGAAAGTGGTAGGCATAGGTGCACACAGAAGTAACATCCACTTTTCACTATTTATGTTATGAGCCCCATGTAATAGGGGGTGAGGCTATTGCCATATACCGGGCACATTTCCAGACTCCGTGCTACTACTGAGATTTTTTAAAACCCAGTAATACTTTGTCTGACCCGGGAATCGAACCCGAGACCCCTTGCCCGGCAGTAGCACTTGCGACCACTCGGCCAACAAGGCAGGCAATTTCAACAACATACCTATTTTATAAAGACTAAAAATATTTTGGCAGAGGAGGCCTTTGTCCAGCAGTGAACATCTTTCGGCTGTTGATGATGATGATGAAAAATGTTTTGAATGATCACCCTTTTATAAAATATCTCCTGTAAATTACTTTAACACAAAATTACTCTTTTCATACATACACCCAATAATAAAAACTCATACCTTAAACTTGTCCCTCCCAGTAGGAGCTGTAGCGTATGGAACTCCATAGAACTCATAGAAATCACCTTGCCAGTACTTCTCCCCTCTCAAATCGCCTATGTCTAAACTAACTATCTTCACATCTTCAGCTAAAACGTTAATTAAAAATATAATAAATACTAAAAACCGAAACATGTCTACCACCATTGAAGAATTTTTCAAATACTTATCAATTTAGTTTGGTATTACGATTATAAAACGATAATCGGTTACATAAATTCAGTTATCGATTGACGATGCCTGTGATTTTTTGATAACAAACCTTGACACACAAATTATCGGTTATAGAGTTATCTGGAAATTATTTTTTGATGGACTACGTGGCTATGGTAGTGGGTATAGTATTTAATAACGCACTGATTAGATATTATGCAACGTGTTACAATAAATTGGTTCTTGATCTTAAAGTTATTCTTAATTCCCATGAAGTAATAGATTTAAAAAAATCCACCTAGATTTATTTGTTTTATTTATTTCTTTAAAGAAGGCTTACAGACTAATACATACAAAATGATTTTATAAGAGTATAATATTGACAAATCTAGGTAGTTCTTATTGCTAGTTACAAACTTCCACATATAGAAATAATAATGCCCTAAGCATTACTAACAGCGAGCACTTAAGTTACACCCAAAAAAAATCTCAAAGAAATTTCGATTTTTAAATCACTAGGAGCATACAAACTGCACATTATTTAAATAAAATTAATAGTTCTAGCTATGATAGGTTAATTTATAATTCCTTCAAAACGCCAATAAATTTCAGCCTTATTTATACACAATTTTTGGTCTTATGATAGTTGAAAATTGAACAAAAAGTAGACTTGAACTGAACAACAAAAATAGGAATACTTTGGCCACGGAAATCGCAAAGCCATGCAGCAAAATATATTATCATAAGATATCCTATACGGGAACATTTCTTGCGTCCGGTGGCCAAGAGTTGTTGGGAGCTTGTTTAGATCTTACGATTTATATTCTTTAAAAAATTAAAGTGGTCAAATGTTGCATTCTGGTCATAATGGTGTTTATCATGTTGAAAACTTGTGCCAAGCAAGGTTACGGTTTTGTTTACTGAGTCTGACAAAGTATTATTTATTTATTTTAGACTTAGTGTGGGAGAGCCATGCTTCGGCACGCATAGGCCGGCTCGACCGGAGCGATACCACGGCTTCACAAAAAACCGACGTGGAACAACACTTGGGTCGTGTTTCGTCGTGTGAGTAAGGTTATTGGAGGTGCCACAATCCTCCAATTCTCAATTCCCGAAAGGCCGGTATTGCACTTGTAACGCCTCTGGTGTTTCAAGTGTCCATGGGCGACGTTGATTGCTTACCATCAGGTGATCCGTCTGCCCGTTAACCGGCTTATGCCATAAAAAAAAAATACATGCACAGGTGGACTTAATGCCTCGGGCATTATCTGACAGTCGACCTTTAGGTGGTGCAGAGATGCAAGGGGCAGATATTATTGTATATTTATAGTTTTTTGTAAAGAAGTTAGTAGAAATCTACATATAATTGTACCCGATATATGTCAATATGCGCGGGTTCACTCTCTCTTAAACAGGGGACTTAAAACATAATTGGTAAAAGAATGATGTGAAGAAGAATGTTCTTTTACCAATTATGTCTTATAATGAATCTCCGGGATTAAAAAGGGTGACAAGACTATCTACATCTATTCAGATAAACAAAATTGGAAATTAAACAATTTATTTGTTTATATAATAATGAAAAAACTGCTTTTTACTACATGCATATGAATATACATCTAATATATTATACCAAAATAACACATTTTAAATTTTTTGTTTTTTTGTTTGTACTGGCTAATCTCTGAAATGGTTGGACCTATTATGACGGAAGCTGATGTACTAATGAGTAACATAGGCTAGTTGTATTTTAGAAAAACACTGACGATGATGCTAGTGCATCTAGTATTTTCGAAAACTAGTTTTATTCAGTTCACCAAAAAAAGTATTGCTTACAATCGCGTCGTAATCGTATCGTTCCGTCTAAGAGTACCTCTAGCCACCTATTTATGCTGAATATATTCGTTTTAGTAGGTTTCTGTGTAGACCTGCATAAAATATGGTATTCGCGCGCACCTCGAGTGTTAGATATTATTTGTGTTGCGGACGTTTAGCGCTAGCTCCGTATCTGACGAACGTTCTCGGAAATTCGGGAAATACGCCATGTTCTGTGTCATTTAGAAGTCGGAAGATTCTTTCAAGTTAGCGTGGCTAGATATTTTGGATGTAGCATGCGAATTGTTGATGGAATTTTGGATGAGTATATGTTATTTTTTTATAAAACTATTTATGTGTAGATAAATGAAACAAAAACTTTCGCTTGAATTCGAATTTATTCAGGAAAAAAAGTTGCATTATTTTTTAAATTAAGCCTTTGACTGCCGACAGAAAACTGCTGAAGGCAACTTCTCCGCTAACGTAGGTCACTGGTGACCTACGCGGCCGTTGACGTGTTAACAATCAGCCAGTTTGACACACTTTCCAGTCTTCGTGTTTCTGACTGTGGGAGTATTACAGAAACATTGAGGGATGTCACAGGGTCCAGGGAACTTCATCTCATGGACGGTAGGGTTATCACACGATGGTTCGGCCATTTGTGGGCAGTAGAGGACGGAATGCTCGCCCTTGGGACAGTTAGCTGTAATGAGGGAAAAAGAATTTAGTAAAATACATGTAAGTACCTAGCTAGGTGAAGCGAAAGTCATATATGCCTGAATTGTGAATACTCTAATGAGTTTTCACTATTTATATTTATGTTATGACATAAATAGTGAAAAGTGGGTGTTACTTCTGTGTGCACCTCTGCCTACCCCTTCGGGGATAAAAGGCGTGATGTTATGTTATTTATGTTATGAGTCCCATGTAATAGAAGGTGAGCCTATTGCCATATACCGTGCACAATTTCAGATTCTGTGCTACTACTGAGAATATTTAAACACCCAGTAATACTTTGTCCGACCCGGAAATCGAACCCGAGACTCATTGCCCGGCAGTCGCACTCACGACCACTCGGCCAACGAGGTAGTCGAGGCAGCAAGTATTTTTAAAAAAGTAAACAGTAGATGTAAAATTACGTGACTAGCGCAGGATAGCAGTAAATAAACATCATAACTAATCAACCATAGCTGGATAAATTGCATAAGTCATGAAATTGGCATAAAATAACTTTGTTATCAATACATAGTATAAAACAAAGTCGCTTTCGCTGTATGTCCGTATGTATGCTTAGATCTTTAAAACTACGCAACGGATTTTGATGCGGTTTTTTTAATAGATAGAGTGATTCTTAAGGAAGGTTTGTATGTATATACATATTGCACCCGTGCGAAGCCGGGGCGGGTCGCTAGTGGATAATAAATTGGAAAGTATTTTGTAGTTGTAGCATGCAGTTTGAAGAACTATATATGATACTATCTACATTTTTTGGTCGTGGTGGCTCGGAGGTTTAAGACTCTCATGTATGAGGGTGCGAGTTCGAAACCTACCAATGGCAAGTACCAATACGACGTTTTCCGAGTTATATGTTCTATCTAAGATTCATAACTGTATCAGTTTTGTTTGTGAATTTATGTATGTAGTGTGCCTACCTAAATTGTACGACTTCTTTTAACTACTTTTTTTTTGTATTCTGTGGAGAATGTCGTTGATTATACATTTATTCTATACTTTCATATTTGTTATAATGTATTATTATAGTGTATAATTGCTAATTTTCCCAAATAAATAAAATAAAAATAAAAAATAAAAATTATTTAGAGACCATTGACAAACGGTAAAGGAAAACATTGTTTGGAGACTTGGGCTTATAATTTCTAATAATAAGTTTGAAATCGCCAACCCGTATTGAGCAAGCGTGGTGATTAATGCTCAAACCTCCGTGTAAGAGAGGCTTTGCTCAGCAGTGGGCATTTATAGGCTGTTGATAATGATGATCTATCTACGTTTTGTTTAGTTGTAACCTTGTCTGATATAACATGATAAGTGTTTCTCAGTCCTAACGAGCGTAGAAAAACACTACAAATTAATTTATTATGAAAGTATTTCCATATATATATTTAACATCCTCTATACATTACATTTTTAAAAACTAAAAATACAAAACAGAAATATATAAAATAGGAGTCGATCAGTAGCGGGAACATGGTCCGAGCTAGCAGTGGGTGTGGCTCCAGAAAAAGAAACCTCCTAACGATACGTGCCGTTTCTAGAACTGCTTTTTGTATCAGGCCCTCGATCCATCCACCTAACGCCAGTCTCCTAATACAGACACGACTATCGGCACAACGATAGCCGAATCCACACTCCATATGTCGACGACCTCGTGAGCTAAGTCTAGATATTTTATTTGTTAATCTGAAAGTATTATTGTTATCTTCACATACCAATAGGAATTCCTTGGCCCTGCACCATCATCACGCTTATAGCGGCAACACACACAACAAAAACAGCCTTCATTTTATAGATCTTTACTTCTTCAAGTTCAACTCAATACTATAATATATATTAGTAAATAAATTCTTTATATACAAGTAGTAGCATTCATAGGGGAAAAACATAGTATGTTTATGAGGAAAATTGTGCTTGGGTATTGCTTTGTCGATTATCGTTTTGTTTACACAACTGTGAACGAGGTCTTTGGTTCAAACACCGGGTTAGATGAAATCTTATACTACCTCTATTATCTTATACTTCTTATACTATTATATAAAGCGGAAGAGTTTGTTTTTTTGTTTGTTTGTTTGTTTGAACGCGCTAATCTCCATAACTACAAGTCTGATTAGAATAATTATTTTTGTGTTGGATAGCGCATTTATCGAGGATGGCTATAGGCTATAAAACATCACACTACGACAAATAGGAGCTGAGCAGAGCGTGTGCAACCGCACGGAAGTAGCTAGTGTGAGTAAATAGGTTGTACTGAACATAAACAGTATCACCTTTTACCTCCGGTAAGGGAAGCCAGATATGTGTATGTGTATTTCTTTTTAAGTTAGGGAGAGCCATGCTTCGGCACGAAAGGGCCGGGTCGACCGGAGTGATACCACGGCCTCACAGAAAACCGACGTGAAGCAACGCTTGCGTTGTGTTTCGTCTTATGAGTCAGGTTACGGGAAGCCTAATACCCCCCCCCCCATCTTCCCCAGTACCTAGTAATGTCATGAGACACAAGTAACAGGGAGTGAATTCATTGTCAAGGCTGTGACTGCCAATAAAAACTGTTGAGGGTAAATCCTCTGCCAAAGCGAGTCACCGGCAACCCTCATTGCGTATTAAATAAGCCTTAAACTACAATTAAATGAAAAGCCTTCCATAACATTTTCCCTAACCCAGCAATCAAGTCACGTGAGGGTGACATGGTCATTTTTGATAAAACCCTTCATAATAAACATAAAGGAAAAACAACCCCGAGACCACTTGGTCAGCTGTTCAGCCTGTTGTCATTGAACTAAACAGCCAGTCAATCTAATTTGAGTATGTCATAGTAGGCATTATAACATAATTTTGTTTAGGTAAAAAAAAATTGATTGGTACTTATTATCCTTTTTAACCTTTCAATTTTGGTCCTAACTGAATATAAAATGAGTTCATCAATAATAAAGTTTCAAGGTCAAATCACTAAACGGTGACATGAATGACGATATTTATTGCATCATTAATATTTTATGACTCTGTCAACAATTCAAGAAATGAACATTTTCTCAGTGGGTACGGGGAATAACTGCATCCGGAGTTACTGTTTTTAAATCATAATGATTTTCCTTATACTAGATTTGATAACTTAACATAACATAACATCACGCCTTTTATCCCCGAAAGGTTAGGCAAAGGTACTTAATGCCAATGTACAATTTTACACACACTTTTCACTATTTATGTTATGAGTCCAATGTAATAGGGGGTGAGCCTATTGCCATATACCGAGCACGATTCCAGATTCCGTGTGACTCCTGAGATTTTTTTTTTTAAAAACCAGTAATACTTTGCCCGACTCAGTAGTCGAACCCGAGACCCTTGCCCGGCAGTCGATACCCGGCAGTTGCCGGGGCTTCAGCTCGAAGAGCAGAAGTAGGGACAGGTTGGTTTTCAGTCAGTAAGCGTCTGATAATCTCTCTGGCCTTGGATGAGCCCAAGGCGTCAAATCAAGTCAAGTCATTGGATGATTTTCCCCCCTCAAAGCAAGGGTATACAAAAAATCGGATATCGTCTTTTATGTTAAGCTCAAGAAAGCCTAACAATTCTTCACTACCACTATACCAACACTACTTTAAAATACGAACGACTATTTTCTGAAACGTAAAACTATATGACTAAAGAGAACTTGTTTTTGGGAACAGTAACTGAACAAAACTTCAGCGGTTTCACAGTGGTAGTGAATTCAGAAACTCTGAGGCCTTTATAACTATAACAGATTTCAGTGGGTACAATACACTGTGCTAAACGGAATAGTTGTTCGCAAGTAAAGAGTTGTTTACCAGATGTTTCGACTATGTTGTTTTGTTTTATAGTTGTTGTTGTTTGATTATGACGTTCGTCTATAGATGTGATAGTAAAAGCTACACTAATAAATGCTGCAGTGATCGATTGGTTTGTCTTTATTTGGTGACAGAAAATCATCAAATGACTGCCCTCATACTGGGTGAGGCGAGAGGAAGTGTCAGAGTCTTGCTGACTAAAAACCACCCCGTTCCTATTTCAAGCTGGAGACTCTGTGATCCGAACCGATGTCTGGAGTTATGTAGTCCGCGGCTCCGGACGGTTAAGATTTTTGTGTTTAAGGAACGAACATATAGCTTCAATTGAGGACTGACGCTTTTGACTTTTATCTTTTAAGTTTTTCTAAGACGTTTAAAAGTTGGAACAAAATATTTGATTTGATGCATATCTACGTGAAATTTACTGGCCCGAGACCATCTCCAACGTAGAGCTTTTGGAGAATTGCCACGAAAGCCCTATCGACCGCCAGATCAAGCGCCGCAAGTGGGGATGGATAGGGCACACGCTCCGAAGGGATCCTGACCAAGCAAGCCTTGGATTGGAATCCCCAAGGGAAAAGAAAGCGTGGCCGTCCTCGGCAAACCTGGCGTTGCAACCGTACTGGCAGAAGCGACGAGCATCAGTATGACGTGGAGTCAGGTGGTGAGGTGAAGCGTGAAGCTCAAGACAGATCACGATGGAGAACTTCAGTGGACGCCCTCTGCCCCATCTAGGGGACACAGGATATTAGGTCAAGTAAGTCTCAAATACTGATATTCAAGCGGCCAATTCTTACGCGAGTAACTTAGGGGCCAAGAATACCAGCGCAAAGCCCTGTCTTACACATGCTGGACTGCTCCCATTTCCCCGCAGACTTGGGACATTAGTAGTTATAAACACATAAC